ATACTTAACTAATTACTTCTAATTGATAAATTTTCAATATGATAATAATGGAGACTGCGTCGTCGCCACAAGTGCGATTGCTGGGCCAGTCTTCGGGTTCGATTCCCGTTTCAGGCTAATTATTGCTAGGTTTTATAAAAATTCTCAATAGTAGCCCGGAGTCTGGAATTGTGCCCTGTATATGGCAATAGGCTCACCTCCTATTACATGGGACTCATAACATAAATAGTGAAAAGTGGGTGCTACATTGTACAGTGGGATTAAGTGCCGTAATGTGCACCTCTGCCTACCCTACCATTATGTGATGATGAAGATAGATGATGGGTACCATTACCTATAATCAAGCCGACGTGAAATGGAGTATAATCTCTATGTTCTATTTTTATTTCATATAGTTGTCTCATCTGCAATAAAGCTTCTTTGAGCAAATCTTCTGACAGTAGTATCATCTTCTGTTTGTCTCTTTTTCCCATATTATCGGTGTAGTCATGATAGTTTACCGCCGTTTGAGTTGATACGGTGAACACTAAAATTTTTTTTTTATTACTTATTCACTATTTTTACTTCCATGAGAACTCTGCTTACTCTTGAATCCAATTCCGATCGGTCGACATTGGTATTGTGAAATTTCGTACTCTTGAGTTGTAACACTAGCGCCCATTGCATCCGTATTGCGTGGATATTGAATGAACTAAATGGTATTGAGTTTGGCTTTATATTCCGTACTCTGAATGCTACTTTAACAGCTACGGTAGGGGTTGTATAGTTTTAACATTGGATACTTATTGAGATTTTATTGGATTGCAATTGCATTGACATTGAGATTGGTTTCAAGAGTAAGCACCCTGCTCGGCGCCTATGGACCGTAGCGTGATGTTCTAGACTATAGCCTTCAACATCTATTTAGATTTTTTGGTTATCCTGGAGTCTATATTTTAATTTTACCAGGATTTGGAATAATCTCCCACATTATTTCTCAAGAAAGAGGTATAAAAGAAACATTTGGATGTTTAGGTATAATTTATGCTATACTAGCAATTAGTTTATTAGTTTTTTTTTAAACGTTGCCCTACATTAGGATTTTCTCCTGCGTCGTGAGTGCGTTTACAAACATACAAGTTCACATACACAATGACACCCAGACCCGAAACAACAATTTGTGGATCACATAAAGTGTTGTTCCGTGCGGGAATCGAACCCACGACACGTTACACGGCAGCCGGTTGCCCAGCCACCGCACCAACCGTGCAGTCAATCATTTATTGTTTGAGCTCATCACATATCATATCTACATCAGCAACAATAATTATTATAGCGCTGTATGCAAGAGCGAGTGCGCGGACAGTTATCGGATGCGCAGCACGGATTCCGGTCAGGGTGCAGCACTGCTACCAATCTCCTGGATTTCATGGGACGAGTGGTGCCAGCTGTCGATGCGGGAGTGCAGGTGGATGTAGCTTATTTTGACTTTAGAAAAGCTTTTGACACCGTCGATAATGACATATTACTGCGGAAGCTAGCAGAAGTAGGATGCTCGCGGAATCTATTGCGGTTTTTTGCTAGTTACATGGAAGGCCGAAAGCAGTACGTGGACTACAAAGGATGTGAATCCGATCTATATTACACCTGGTCGGGGGTAAGTCAGGGCAGCAACTTGGGGCCTCTAGAATTCATTATCATGATAAACGATCTACCGGAAGTCGTAAGACATGGTGCTTGTTTGTTATTTGCAGATGACCTTAAGTTGCTGTTAGAGATTAGGTCAGAGGCAGATTGCAGGCGCTTGCAAGAGGACATCGATCGCATAGTACAATGGAGTCATGAAAACAAGCTGTACTTTAACGTATCCAAGTGCTCGTTGATGAGTTTCACCCGTGCTCGTGCACCGGTGCGCTACGATTATGTGGTGGATGCGGCGCCACTGCAAAGAGTCACAGGGGTGCGAGACTTGGGTGTTTTCATGACTCCCGATCTGACATTCCGTGAGCATATAACCAGAATCTGTAAGAAGGCATACAGAAACTTAGGATTTGTTTTGAGACAGACACAAAGCTTCACAAATATTACAACAGTTAGAGTCCTATATGATGCACTAGTCAGGAGTCATCTGGAACATAGTGCGGTCATATGGGCTCCACATGAAGCTAAGTACACGTTAATGCTGGAGAGCGTTCAGAATAAGTTCACACGCCACCTGTACAAGAGATTGTATGGGGTATATCCGTTTTACCCACTGATGTATCCCACTCTATTTATCCTGGGTATGGTTGGATATAATCAACTGCATGTCCGGCGAGAGTTTACACTGGTCGCCTACTTGGTGAGGGTGCTTCGTGGAGTGGAGAGTCACCCGACAGTATTGCGGCACTTAAGTCTGTGTGTGCCGGACCGCTACGTGTGGCGACGGCGGAGTCCGCCTTTGCTGTTGGTACCTACAGCGAGAACTAACTTACTCGCTAAGGCACCTCTTACCAGAGCTATCCGTACCATTAACGACCTTCACGCACAGATTGATGTGTTAACATGTTGTTTTGGTGAATTCGCGAGGGTATTACTATTTATATTGTGTTATAAGTAAAATAATATTATGTATTTTTATTAGATTCGATAATTTCAATAATGACATGTAATTTTTAATTATGTTGGTGAATAATGTATAGCTTTTTCCTATTTTTGATTCTATATATTGTTATTGTTGGTTTAGTTGGTGTTGGTTTGTATTGTATATTTGGTTTGGTTCTTAGCTGTCGCATTAGGGTACGTGATGCCCTGTAATGATAGTTTAAGTGTTCTTAAATATAAATAAATAAATAAATAAATAAATAAATAAATAAATAAATATT